GGTATTACTGTGGCTGCAGGGCTTGAAATGGAATTTGGAAAGTTTTCTTTCATGAAAAGAATCTTCATACCCTCGCTCATCTACGCCAGCCCTGGGCAGAGGAAATCTCCCTCCACTCGAATTTTATTGAAGAAAAATCTCCTGACGCTGCTGCTATTGCGCAATCCCGCGCGGTCGCGAATGGGTTAAGTACTTTCAGAAGGTGCCATCGTGAACTCTTCATGCGAAGACCTGCAACTTCCACCTGAATTACCTAAACGGTATTACATCAACTCTTTCGTGCACACTCGTTCACAAATACAGGCATTCTTCCCGAGTTGGTGAGTTTGGCTCTCCCTTTAAAATCGTTGCTGCCTTATCCAGACAACTTTCGATGTATTTGTAAATCATATTCAAGGGACGGCATTGGGGTCGTGGCAAGCGGCACGCTTATTACGCGCGCGGTCCGGGGATCAAATTCTGGATCGTATGTCGTGTAGGCCAACCAGGCCTTCCATTTTCCTCATTTGCTTGAGAGTATGGAAATACTTAATTACATTGGCCGCCCCACAAATTGTTGTATTGTGCGCCAAATCGCGTTCAAAATGCCCAACGATTCTGACGGACTAGAATACGTGGCGCATGCCAGAATGGGATTAATCAACACCAAATGCTCAATCATTCGTAATTTATTCAAGAGCTGTGTGATCACGTTCACTTTCCCTTTTTCCCATTTCATTTAGATGTGATCAGTGATGCTCGGGTGAAAAAAAAACCGAGAAAAGCGGCTTAGATGAGAAATGGGAGCTCTTGGCCGTTGGTTTCCGCAACGGAGGGAGTCTCATCGGTGCTGACCTTATCAGTGCGCTCTACTGTGCGTCCCTCAAGGCACAGGGTCCGCGACTAGAGTCCGATGAAGAATGGTTAGCCGGTCGGTGGGCGGGTCAAAGCACGAGCGGCGCGGGCATGACCGTGTTCGGTCGCTGGTGACATGCCCTTCCCTGCGACACGCGCATCATGCCGCATTCTCAAGGGCCTCGCCAAGAATCAAGGATAAGTAAAAAATCAAGGATGCATCACTTGCAAACACAAGGGCTTTTTCAGCTCAAAGTCCTATATGAAGGAAGTGACGTCGAAGTTCGACATTGAACGTCTCGGCAAAGAGAATTCCACAAATCTGCTGCAATTCTCCGTCCGAAATGACGTCATTGTCGCGTATCGATCGATAACTGATCAATTCTATAATCGATTGGCTGTTGTGGGCGTGCAGTGGAGAATGACAGTATCGTAAATGCCTTCGTTTTCGATTGACACGTTTAGCACAAAACATGTTAATGACTGTAAAAAGGTGAGTCCTCAATGGAAATTGCTAATTAGGTGGCTATTTAATTGGTCCGATTTATTGTCCTTCTGGGAATATAGGATTTGAATTCCAGATGGACTGTCTACTCATTACTCGGAGCGGATTTGTACTGGCATCATCGACCACACGTACACCTGGTCCGCTGGCTCGTTTCGACCCTCAGCTGTTTGCAAGTCTCGTGGAAAACAACCTGGTCACTACGTGAGTCCTGGCACCAGCCAGTACTCAGAGTCAACCCTGCGTTGCGCAGTTCTCAACGGCCACGTTGCGCAGTTTCGCCCGATTAGACACGTTCTCTCGCGCGAACATTCACACTCGCATGCTCGAGCCGTCTGCGTCTCCGCCCATACAGCGTGCGTTGAGGATCTCTCAACGTGCCGTTGCGAACTGCGCAACGCAGGGTTGACTCTGCTTACATCTTCTCTCAATCAGTTTAGTGTCTAATCCTTACCCTTCTACAGGCATTCGTGGGTAGATGCACAAGCTGAGTGTATGGCGAGTAGATCCGCCCCATGGTCAAGTCCGGCTACACGTCGGAGCAACATCTTCAGAACGATCATCGATACCATCTCAACTCTCATAGGGAAGACCTTTTGGTGAGCGAAATAAGACTACTTATTGATCGCTCCTCCCGAATCGTTCGATCTTCCAGGATCGACCTTTACTACCTGCTCACGTCATTCGTCGCTGGACAACCATCAATGTCCGGAGGAATATGTCGTTTTCAGCGGATTAAGCCCGTCGAGAGGTTCGTACCTGAAATTCCGCCTTTTCTCCCATATACGCATTTGGGGTCTATTCCAGTTACGGGGGGGCGTCATGATGCAGTGTCTCGGCCAATTAGTTTGAACTCGAACATTCCAGCCTTTCACGCATGTCAAGTGACTCGCCTCATCCTCACCCCCACGCTTACACTCTCGCTCAGAGTTACCGTAGCTTTCTGAAAAAACTGCAATCATGATGCCCCCCCCCCCCAGCTGAATAACCCCGAAAGCTGTGACGAAATAAACAACACATTCAAGGATTGATAAATTAGGAACACGTATCTTATAAGATGCGCCGGATCAAACACCTATCATTTTCTTTGCAAATATTACTGAATCCTGAAATTTCAGATGTTTCCTACGTCACACTAGCTACAAAATGACCCTCAATATAAGCAAGCAAATACAACTGAGTGACATGAAATGCGCCAGGTCAGTGATTCACTTTTCACGACTATCAGTTACTACAATACTTTGTGTTTTGTGTATGTTGTTGTTCTATGGCATATTTGTGCCCATTATTTCCGAACTCCTGAGCACATGTGGTGAGGGGCTCCACCCTCGACGAACTATACGAACTTATGTTGAAGTGCCCGCTGCTTTAATCGTTCCTCCAGTTTTGCTTTGCTTGGGGCACGATTACTACCTCCATATCCCACCAGGGTCAAGCGAGGCGTTGAGGAAAATTTGGAAATACGACCCCCCCCCCCCCACCCTCCGCCGGAGGCCGAAGTCCATGAAACAACCCTCTTCAAAAGCCGAACTATGAAAAGGTTGAAAAGCTTGTTTAATTCTCCCCCAAAACTGCTCATAAAAAAGCCCTGCTACCCCACCGCCCACAAAAAAATTCGTTTAAGAAGTACAAAAGTGAAAAAGTCAAAGAATAATCATTATTGATGAGTCCTACCAAACGAGCAAACGAGAAAACCAAAAACGACAAACTAGCCACTAAAAATGGCATACTATGACAACATCTCTTCTTTATTTATTTCCTCCACAAGACTTACCAAATTCTAGTACTAATTTTCTCAATTTTCTCATTTTTTTTTTTTTTTCACAGATTGTGGTTCTCAATTTGCACGTAGCCCTTCAGTTGAAAGAAGCTTTTTAACCGCCTTCGCCAGCTGTGTGTTGACTGGACTTTGGCGTTGACCGTGGAGCAGCTTATTTACTATTGAAATTTGAACAAATATTCAAATGATTATAACTTTCTTCAAATGACGAATTTTCAATCTGAAAGCAGATTTGGAAGTTTTGTGAAGAGCTTTTTCTAATCAGTATTGAAATTACAAAAAGTTATAAGAAATAACAAATTTAGATCAAATAACGAGGAAAATTCGAGACGAGCACGAGTTTTTACACTTTCCGGAGCAATAACTTGCTTCATTTCCGTCAAATTCAAAAGTTGATACGTCATACAAAACTAGAAGATTTTCTCTATCAAACGGTTGCTAAAGCAGCTTTATACGTCCAGTATTCAAAAAATGGCCACGTTGAGGATTTTGCAAAATTAACGAGGAAAATTTGTGATGAGTGCGAGTTTTTTTACTTCCTAAAGCCATAACTCCGTTCAAACTCATCCAATCCGAAAAGTAAATACGCCATCATAAACTAGAAGATTTGCTCTATCAAATGCTTACTAGAACTGCTCCAAACGTCCAGTATTAAAAAAACGGCTACGTTGAGGATTTTCGCACGAGTACCGCCGAAAGGTACTTTTTCGCTACATTGGCACTATTTCAACGGCTGTATATCCTTTTAAGGGCGTATGTACTAAAGTAAGAGCAGATTTGGAATCATTGCTTTTCTCTTTCTAAGAAAAGTGATTGATTAGCGTTTCTCAACTTTAAAGGTTACATGTTATAAATTTAACCCTGAAGAGTCCGTTAACGCAATGTTGAATGGTGTACACCTCCCTGTAAATGCGCACGGACACTTTCAGAATTCTCTCGATTGTTCCTGAATTGAGGTTGTTTGTCCAAGGAGCCGTAGTTGAAGCGCGCGCAACAACTAGACCCTTTCTCGGATGCGCCGTGTACCTCACATCCCTTCAGATTCGGGGTCTTACTTGAAAGATGAAATATCTCTTGGAAAGCGTGCGAAATTCAGATTCTTTAACTTGTGTGGTGATAAAACACTGAAGTAACTAAGAATTACCGGACGCCTCAGAATCACGAAAATTTTGTGTGGGTGAAATATCATTTTCATTGGAAATCCTCTGGCCTGGCATCGACTCATCCTTGATATTTGTCTTCCGACGGTGATGATCCCACTGCATCAAAATGGCTCGATCTCTTCCACCCAGCGGGCCATACGACCCCCCCCCCCCTGCGACGTGTCGAGGATTCCTCAACGCACGCTTGACCCTGGTCCCTTACCAACGTATGTGGTCTATTGCAGATTACGCTCAGGGTGTTCCCGGTGCCTCATACAACACTAACAGTAATTACGAGTGGATCGTGCCTGTCCAGGCTATCGAGCCAAGAAGAAATACCCTGTGCAGCCGCAAATATGTAAGTTCTGGCCGTCATAGTTAACTCATTCACGGCATAATTTGTTTCCCGCGTAGAAGATGCGCAATGCGGGACTTTATCTTCACCTAGCCCCCCAGGGGGAAGGATTGAATACCGCCCCTGGTGATGGCTTCGAGGACCTCAATATCGTGTGTATTTTCTTACATTCTTGATGCCATTTCATGTTACATGTAGCTACCCGTAGAACCGCGATTACGGGCACGTGAACAGTTATCCTCATTTCTCTTTTCAGTGAAAGGTTGTGAAAAAGTGACCTACTTCGATCGGCGACCACCAACACACTACAATACAACTGTCGATCAAAATGAGGCATGCGATACAAGGTTACAGATTCTTGGCAAGCTTTCAATGAGCACTCTATTTTCAGGAACCCACACCCGAGTGTCTTCTTGGTGATTCTGCAGGTGACACAGAGTCATCAATAGCTTTCATATTTCCATTCATTTGTGCAGTGCTCTCTTCACTCTAGTCAAATTCAGTAGTTCTTTCGTTTACGCTCTATGTTCAAAGTGCAGCACTTACAAATACGTGTATCACCAAGGTTCATCTTTGGTGCTGGCAGGATGCCAAACCCAATGAATATATAATATTATGTGGCCTGTAGGCTCGCCTTACGTGTATTCTATGTAAACATTACTTAATAAAATCAATTAACATAACACAGCTTTTACTGAAGTTCTGGATACGTCACCAAACAAATAACAGGCATATTATTACAGTACACGAACAACACGGATAGCAAAATAACTACAAGTCTACTTATTCTTACCACCTCTTTCTTTTATCTGTAAAATAACGAATGACTGGTTTTTCATGTTGTAGTAGGCCAGCGAGAAGTTATCTTTCAAGAAGAATCCCTGAAATAAAGGATCTGAAAACGAGCAAGGTCGAAGGACTTCAAAACATAGACTGTCTGGGTAACGGGCTACAACTGGAACAAGCGTCATTTATTATTTTACCCTAGGTCAATCGACTCGAAGTGTCAAAACAAATAGTAAATCTAATATCATTGAGCATCCAGGCTCCACCCCAGAAGCCAATTGCCTGCTCGTTCCCCATTTTTTGCGAATGAAACTTAATTTCTTTGAACCTTCATAGAAGTAGCGCAGGGCTTATGGAAAATGGCACAAGTCCCAAACTATAAAGGAAACTCACATCGAAAATAAGCTTCTGCTTTCCAGTCGGCATACTGAGTTTGTCCTGAAGATTCTGTTTGAGATCAGCCACCTGAAATAATCCACGCTTTAGACTTTTTAGCTCTATTTTTCTATAT